TAGGTCCACATCGAGGAGACGCGCAGATTTCCAAGTTGTTGACTCACTGCGATTCGTCTTTTCTTGCGTCAAATTAATTTATTAATTAATTAACTAATACGCCCGCTCTTTTTGTTGTTGGCAGGGACTGATTTTTTTTCGAACTGGAAGCTTCCCCGTAACTTACACTGTGACGTCGCGCGCGCGACGTCGCTTTCGTTCTGCCGCCGCAACAGGGGCCTCCTGACCGACGAACACAAGTCCTTCTCACTTCCGGGTGTTCCTTGGCACCATGCGTTCATAGATTATATTCCCGTAGGATGATATGTGATCAGGCAGAGTAGCCGAAAAGGTTGTACATGGAAATATCTAATTTGGTGCTGAGGAGGGGGGTTGCAGTCACCAGCTGGCGCGCGGCATGTCTACGCCCTCTATGAACTCGCACATTCCAGCTTTTCACGCATGTCAAATGACGCCCATTCCTACCCCCTGAACTGCCTACGTTCCGCTGCCTCACGAATCTCTTATTTCACACTTGAAGGCGCAGACGGGATGTGCGCTTCGGCGGCACTGCCCCCCCCAACTATTCAGCACCCTCAACTTTTCCAAGTGAGAATAGCAAAATTATGAAGTACAGTAACAACGGAAAATTATCACAATCACTAAAATGACACGTAACTACATGAGATCCATGGAGATCGAGCGTTTCAGCTCACTACGGTAACCACTGGTACCTGGCCAGGAGGCCCGTCGCGCGGCAAGAAGGCAGAGTCAGCGGACGAGTCGCAGCGCGTACTGTGGGATTTCGCGTCAAGTTAAATAGAATGTCCACCACTGTACGTCCTACATCGCACATCACGCGCTGCGACTCGTCCGCGACTCTGCCTTCTTGCCGCGCGACGGGCCTCCTGTCAGGTACCCGGTAGCTAAATCTTAACAAAATCAATACAATACTCAGAATCTATCTCAAAAATAATGCCACAGCTGCAATATTCCATTTGTGGACATCCGAACATGGCATCGCTACGGTAGCGATGTATTCACTGCGTGTAACGTCGGTGTAAAGCGGTACAGACACAGATTCGCTCTCCTTGTATTGTGTTGGAGATCCCTGTAGAAAATTCTTATATTGTTTGAATTACTGTGTTGGTATATGGTCGCTCAGTTTGCGAAGCAACGACGCGCGCGGTCAAGGGGTCTTGCGGCGTTTTTTCGTTGTCTCTCCTGTCATTCCCCTCTTCCTATTCATTTCTTCTCAACTATTGCAAACTCGATCCTTAAATGGTTCCTCAGACCCACCTAAGAAGCCCTTACCATGGCTAGAAGTGCTGGGTACGCAAACGCAGAGGTAGCGCCACCTTTCTCATCGAAACGCGTCACTAGGACCTAGGCGCCATGGACTTCTAACAGACTCCACCAAACTTAACATGTCCGTCCACCGTTCGATATATGTCTTGTCTGCGTCGCCACGTTGACTGCTGCTCTCTCTTCTCGGACTTCTCTACCACTCTCCGCGCTCACATTATCTCTCATCTCCCCTGTCTTTTGAACTTCTCCACAGCATGGAGCAAAATGCTCGTATTTCCTGTGTATTTCAGGATTTTCTTTCCTTTTTTCTCCACTGGCGGTCCACCTCCCATCCCTACTTTCACATTTGAGTGGAATCACCCCATCAATTTAATCCTGATTCTTGCCTTTAAATGGGTCATGTGCTGCCCCCGTTTGCACCCTCTCGCCTACATAAATAATAGTCTACGACTATAGCAACTTTGCACGTTCAAAGTTACTAAATACGTGAAAAATGCCCCCCTCCTCCGTTAAGAGCTACGGTAGGCGCCATTCGCAGCAGTACCATCGAGGAAAGTTCAAGTAGTCCGCAAACCTGCAATTTACAATTTCACTTACGATTTTCGTCCAACCAAGTGTTAGCTGCGGAGCGGTGGTGACTGGTGGAGTACTGACCACGGTGTCACGAAGTTGGCCATCGAATAGCGCTCCTTGTAGGAGGATCCCCTGAAGGCGAATTCTTTGAGTTTTACCTTGCGAATTCATGGACCAAACATTTGGATCGGGACTAACTTGTTTGCAGTAAAGGACTAGAACGACATGAGGCTCGTAATGACTCTAATTAGGACTGATATGCCCACCTGGTATATGCCTACTGCCTCAAGCATTTTAGGCCTCCTAACCTAGCTTGCAATTGTGTCAAATTTCTAACCTGAACTTGGATCGAAATATCATTTGCGATGAGTGACGAATCCCATGCAGAAGAGAGCCGCAGCATGTCCATCGTACAACCGCTCGATCTGTAAAAGCACCCGTTCTGTGTGGTGAGCTCCGACTTTGATTACAGCACTCCAGTTAGCTCGGTTCTCACCTTGCCGTCACTTGTCGGAGGGCGTTCAGAAGTCGCCCTGGCCGAAACAGCTTCGAGAAGTCAACTGGAGTTTTACGGAAATCGTTTTGATCAGGGTTAGAGACGAGTTCCTGCACTGACTTCGCCTGAAAAGTATGCAGTTGTTGGGCTACGTGCATTTTCCACAGTAGGAGAGCCCATTCGCCCGTCACCATTCTTCAGCGCAAAATTACTGGCTATGTATCACAAAATATAACAGTCCTCAGAAATATCTCATTTCCAAATAGTGCGGATGGTGTCTTTTTCCTTCTCATCAAAATTATAGCTTGTCTTCCTCGTATCTATTCGATATTAAATAGAATAGAATAGTTTAGTACTGAGCTTCCGACCAAGATTGTCAATAGCTTTATTTGGCCGACGTTTCGGTGCTTTCACCTTCTTCAGAGCCTGGAAAAGTCGAAAGCTATTTAGGAAACTAGTAAACGTTACTACTAGCTCGGGGTGGCAGGTGGACCTCTCTGGCCAGCATCTCTAAAGGTTCGTTCTCATCTCCCTCCTATGACATTGTTTTAGTAGTTTACTCCCTGTTGAATGAATCTTGTAGGTTGAAATAGTGTTTGGACGGGTACTTT